CTGTCACCCGTCCCTGGCGCCACCCTGGGGGTGGATGCTGCCTGGGGAAAAGCCTCTTTTAGCAGGGGAACTGGCTGGAAAAAGGGGCTGCATCACCCCAAAATGCTGCTGTTTCTGTGCACATTGGGGTTTCTGGTCCCGGCTGTGCCCGAGATGTCACCGCAGCACCCCACGGCCCTACAGTGCTCACCCCACCCTCCCATCCAGGACACATTTCTGTCTGGGTGGGAGACCTGAGCCTGACCCAGGCGTTGACTTCACGTTTTATCAAGCAGGAACATGGAAGAGACCTAAAGGGGAGCTGAAGTGCTGGCGAATGAAAGGGATTCTAATTACCGCAGCTAATTACAAAGAATAAATCCCCAGCGGGAGGGGCAGCTGGGGGGGGGGGGGAGAGGGGAAGAGAAACTGTCGAAACCGTGAATAAAATCAAACAATTAAAAATCAGGTGAGGAGCTGAGAGCTGCTCACCCAGCTGCTGGTGGACAGGGCTGTTCGGCTAAATCCTGGGACACGCACATGTGGGGTCTGAGCCTGACACGGGGACCCAGTTCTCCTACCCAGCTGCAGGTGCCTGGCCCTATACGATGAGCTGCTGGGGTTCAACGAGAGCTTTGGGTTTCACCTCCGTGGCCACAGGGATAATTTTGGGGGATGAGGCTGGTGGTGCCTGTCCTGGTGTCCCCAAGTAGTGTCCCACAGGGCTGCAGGCCGGGTGCTTCTCCCCACCAGCCCCACGTCCTGCCAATGTCGGCCACACGGAGCAGCTGTCTGGGCTGTAAATCACCCGGGGACGGAGGTAATAGGGCTGCTCCGCTCTTATCTGGGGCTTTATTAGGAAATCGTTAAGCGGCTTTTCCCTCCCAATCCCCTGCTTATCAGCAGTCCCGGGTAAAATGGCAAATTGCATCCCGGGGTGGACAGGCCGGGGAAGAGAAGCCCATTTATTTCCCCTTACGGGTTTATCGCTAGATCAAGGAGCTGCTGAAGATGTAAGCAGCGCTGTTTATTTCCCCAGGTGATGGATCTAGCTGCCACACGGCTCCGTTAAGCACAGCACGCTGCCTGACACGGACCCGCGGGCCGGACCGCTGGCTCGTGTGCCTCAAGGTCTGGCTTTAATTGAGTGCTGTCTCCCCGTTGTCATGCCTTTTTTCTTTTTTTTTAATTCTTTTTTTTTGCTTTTGCTCTTTACGTTTTTTTCCCCTCCCTCCTTTAGAAGGCCTTCCCAAAATAAACTCGTGCATTTAATCTCCTGTCTCTTGCCCTCATCTCTTGCTCCTTTTGGCAAACGCAGAGCCATAAAGAAAGTTAACAAATCGGAAATCTGTCCGCAGCCTCCGAGTGAAAAGAGCAGTGAAATCTTTTTACCTTTTTTTTTTTTCCTTTTTTTTTCTCTCTCTCTCTCTTTTTTTTTTTTTTTTTTTTCTTCCTCTGGAAGAAAGAATTAGGGGAGGGGGTGAAAACCCCTTTTGAAGCCGCGGGACTGAGTGCTCCCTTTCTTATCAGATCAAGCAATAATTCCCAGTGACACCTATTGTGGCTAGTTAATGGAAAGCCATTAAAACTCCAGCTCAATACTTTCTCAGGAGAGATAGGGACTGTTCAATACCGTTCCCCAGGCAGGCAAAGAAATACCAAGGACCCGCTGACAGCGCGGAGCAGAAGTGCTGAGGCTGCAGCTTCTGCCACCAGCACCTGCAGGGGGGCTGGAGCATCCCCGGCCTGGGCGCTGCTGCAGTCCAGCACCCAGATTTTCCGGAAAGGAGGTAAAAATAAAGTTAGGGAGGATGGGGAGAGCTAGAGGAGGATTTGGGGAGGGTTAGGTGTTTTTGTGGGGTGTGATCCCAAGTCATGGCCACGCAGTGCAGGTGCCAATGCTGCCTACAAGGGGGGACAAAACGCAGTTGATGATGCCCCCACTGCCAAGTGCTGGCTTTGGAAAGCCAGGAGAAAAGGGGCTTGGAGCGTTCTGCCCCTGTCCTGATGACGGTGGAGGAAAGCAGCCAGGATCTGAACCCCGTCTCCCCGCAGAGCCGCCGCCAGCCTCTTCCTCTCCATCCCCCGGGGACCCCACAGCCACCGCGCCAGCGCCTCTCACGTCTCACGTCCAGCTCCTGGTGGAGGCCGGAATGAAACAGCGGCTTATTTTTAGCTTCTGCTTGTTTAAGGAGAGCCACCAGACCTATCAGCCTTTCTATAAATACAAGCCCGAAGACAGGATATAACAATCTGCCCTGATTTGGTTCCTTTCATCCGAGGATTCAAAGCATCCGACGGCATCTCTGAGAAATGAGTGAAGGCTTCGCAACTTGCATGAAAATACAACTATTTGTTGTTTTTTTTCTGCTGAGCTTTGCACTGCAGCCCCTCACTCCCCCAATTCCCCCCATTTCATGTCCTCAAGCCCTCTCCAAGGCATCTCTTAGCAAGTCAGCCCGGGAATGGGTGATGTTCCTGCAGCTTGCCACGGCGCGCAGCTGGCTCGGTGTCATCGAGCGTGGGGGGTTTGTTTATTTAATCAATTAATTGAATTAATTAATTTTCATGAGAGTGAGGAGAAAAATAATAGGGACTGCCAGCAGTGTTGTTGGCTGTCGTACTGGGTGCAGGGCGGTGGGAGCAGCTGTCTGATCTGCCACCTTGGTTTTATTTCTGCAAACCTGGCCCCCTCCAGTTATAGGAGGAAAAAAAAAAAAAAAAAAGCAGCTGCTGAGGGCTAAATGAGGAGCCCTGCTGGATGTCCCACTGCTGGGCCCTGCTTCTTGGCAGTTTTTTGTCCTTAGGCAAGGAGAGGTGAGCCCTCTTCCCCCCCGGCTGTGGCTCTGGACCAGGCTTGGAGAGCAAACCTGTTCATAAAAGAAATGTGGGAGGCAACGCATTTCCACACTTAATTGACTCCACAGATTAATCCCAATTAAAAGCTGTAATTGGGATTACAGTGGTTAATCATCTTTCCACCCCGAGCAAGAGCCGCGCTATCTCCGTTAGCGTCACCAGGAAAGCCGGGGACGTGGCGTTACGCAGCGCCGGGCACAGCCCCAGGGGAAGTGGGGATCCCAAAAGGGGTCCTCGAGGTCTGGTCCCCTCGAGGTGCTGCTCCCGGGGTGGTGGTGGGCAGTGGATGGCACCCCAGGGCTGCACCGTCGGCTTTTTCTGTGACATTTTTCTGGCACGCTCTTTCTGAGCCTGTTAATTAAGCAGCATCCTCCAGCGATGGCTTTGTCTCAGTGGGACTGAGGAGCACACCTCCCCTCCTTCTCTGCCGTTCCCTGTTGTTGGGGTCTTGGCCTCTCCAGACCCCAGAGACAGCTCAGGACCAAGCCCAGACCTGGCTCCAGAAGTGCCATGGGTGAAACAGGGGAGGGAACACCCAAAAAGCCAAAGATGCTGCTGGTGCCCTGGGGAAGAGCACACGATTTGCCTTCAGGAGATGCTGCGAACATTTCCCCCAAGGGCTGACCCTACAGGACGTGTTGTGTGCCTGTGCCCAGGATGTATAAATACCCCCAAAACCCCAAACTTGCTGCAGCAGCCCCATGATTGTTACCACCAACAGTTTAGCAGCCTGACAAATCCAGGCTGATGCTTCCTTACTCCGCAGGCTCAGCTTTACCCAAAGCTGCAGAGGTTTGTGCCGTGGATCTCGTGGGTGATGTGAAACGGAAGTAGTGATTGGTGTGACACTGTTTTTCATCCTCCAGCCATCCCAAACGCAGCCAGTGCTTGGTGCTGCACCACCCTGGCTCCTGCCATCCCGCTGGGTCTCTCTCTGCAATCCTAGATGTGATTTTGGCCTGGTGTTTAGGAAAACGCCATTATAAGCGCCGCTGAACAGGCAAATAAAAACTCAAGGACCCCGGTGGTATTTTTAGTCCCCTCTCGGTGACTAGCTCAAAATCCTCCACAGGACTGTGAAATAAAATTAATCTGCATCTGCCATGCATCACTTTTACGAAGCTTGCCTCCTCCTGCAGCCGGAGGGATGCTTTAAGAGGCAGCTCCTTTCAGTCTGAGGGAGAGCCAAGTACCTGCCAGGCATCCGCAGCCACGGCTCCAGCCGCCAGCAGCAGGAAACCACCAGGGATGGGTGTGAGGGGGTGGCAGAAGGGTGAAAAATTGATGCTGTCTCCCTGTGAGTTAGGAGAGCGTCCCCCGTGCTGGCAGCAGGCTTGGGTCCCGCATCCTGCCCGCGCAGGGAAGGCACTGGTTGTACTGGTTTGCTCACTGGGCAGAGCTGCTGAGGGAACTGGGGGGGTCCCAAACTAGGGGGAGCTGCCATGGGAACTCCCCAGCACTGAGGATGGGGAAGGAAAAACCTCATTGCCATGGAAACCAAAGAGCCAGTTGAGCTGCCATGGAAACGAGTTGGGGACTTAGGGACCATCCTGCTGGGGCTGGACCTGCACGGTGGGGATGGTGCTGGTCCGTTGGGCATGGGATGGGATATGGGTGCTGGGGGGCGCAAACCGGAGTAAGGCAGACCCCAAACTGGTGGCTGAGCACCCCAAACCGGAGCAGCGTGGGCTGGTGGGGGAAAGGTCTGATGGATGCTCCTGGGCCACGCAGCTTGCTGATGCTCAGGACTGCAAATTGTGTAGAAATGTGAGCCTTGAAGTGGCCGAGGGTGGAAATGCAGCTGCCTCTGGGGAGAAATTACACGGAGACAGGGAGGGAAGAGCAGGGCCAGGCAGGGGCCGGCAGGAGGGGCCAGGGGTGCCCTTGGCTTGGCAGCGGTGCCGCGATGTGGATCGCACTGAACTGCTCTTCCTCCCCACCCTGAGCCAATAAAGCACCTCCTGTTTGGGTTCCGTGGTTGTTTGGCTTCCCAAAATAGTCACCAAAGGGCTCGGGGAAAACAAGGGAGGTCAAATTTTTGCAAGGGGAGGTGTCCTCGGTGGGACACCCTGGGGACACCCCGGGATGCCTCCGTGCGCTGCCAGGTGGGCACACAGGGCTCTGCCCGCTGAGGAGGGAGGTGAGGAGGATTCCTCATAGCTGTGACCCTAAAAGCTCCTTTCTGCCCTCGTTACCTGTTCCCAGGGCTCCCAGCATGGGGCAGGTGGGTGGGAGCAGCTGAAGCCTATAAAGGGCTGATAGGGGAAGTCATGGAGGAGCCCCAAAGCCTGGCTGCAAGAGAAGGGATGGTGTGGGGTCACCACGGCTGGCTCGGTGAGTTGGCCCTACAGGGATACAAGTGGTGGTTTGGGGTCCCTCATCCTGGGGTCTGGACACTTCTGGATCCCGGACACAGCTCAGGACCAGCCCCAAGCTGAGCTGGGCTTGTAGCTGGGACCCCAACTTTTGGGGAGCTGGTCCTCCTGTGTCTAGTCCCCAAAACCTGCCCCATGGAGCAGCGATGCCATCCACAGCCGGGCTCTGGCACAAGCAAAAGCGTTGCCTTCCCTCCTCCCCGGGGCTGAGTGCGGCTCTCGTGCTAACAGCAACCTCGGGATGCCCTTTAATTTTTAATGCTTCAATAAAACGGTAATTACAAACACTGCAGTTTGAGTTTTTAAGTAGGAAGTATTAACTTCCCAGGGTTTAATTATTCAACAGAAATTAATGAAAGCGGGGCTGGATCCTGCTTTTCCCTGGCGGGGCCAGCATCGCTCTCTTCGTGGGGACCAGGCAGGGACACGGGGGATCCAGGCTGGGACAGTGATGTGTTGGTGCCCCTAAGGGTGTACTTGGGGAAACTGAGGCACGGCACCTGGGGGGTGGCCGTGCCCCTGGTCTGCAAGGGAACCTGCTAACCCCACGACTTTGCTTTATGGGGCTTTGGGGAACCATAACCAAAATCCCTGGGGAGGCTTTGGTCTAGTTTTTAATTGGTCTTATGCCTTTAATTGCTTTTAATTTGGTCTGGCATGGTGTGGTTCAAAAGCAGCTGTGCTGGGGAGTGGGGCTGTTAAGGTCAGGGGCGCTTTCAGGGCTATTCAAAAGCAGCAAAACAGTCGGTGTTCTGCCAAAAAGCGGGGATTTGGGCTGGCTGCTGCTCGACCTGGCATCGTCTCCCTGTCTTCTGATGGGGATCTGAGCTGGGAAGGTCCGGTCCCCGCACCGTGATGGCTATGGGGTGGGAAAGCATTGATGGGGGCAGAAGGGTTGGAGAGATGGGGGGAACCACTCCGTTAGGTCAACCAGGTAAGGGCAGGGACATCTCGCACCTCATCCCTCTGCCTGGCCCCACAAAGCCCCATTCTCAGGTGGACGGCAGCCCCATAAAGCATCCCCTCCTGAGCGGTGCAGCTGGGTGTCCCTATGGAGCCAGCCTGCAGCGACTGGCGCCTGTGGGGTCTCGGGGAAGCATGTTTGCTGGAAAAGCAAGTTGTTGCTGTTATTAATAGTTAATCTTAATAACTTCATTAATAAGCCAACCTGTCAGCTCGATTGCCTGCAATGAGGTGGAAAGAAAATACTGCTGGCCAGGGCTCCCTGCAGGATGGGAATATCTGCTCCGGGGGCTCGCTGGGCGAGCACGTTCCCAGGTGGGTCCCCACTTGTGGGGCAGCAGTTCTGGTCCCCCCCCTTCGTTCCCCACTGTAACACGGAATATTTTCTCATTCCCATTTATTACGCAGGGCATCAGCAGTTCCCTGGATGGGAAAGATTCTCCTCAGGGTTCTGTCTGCTGGGCTGGAAATATCCCTCTTTTTCTGACTTAAATTAGGAACATTGTGAGACAAGGGATGAGTTAAGGGACACAGTTAATCAGTTCTGACAGTGTTGGCCTGGGTGAGACCTTACCGGCTGCACGGGGGCGAGCGCACGGAGCTCTGCCACGAACCACTGGGGGCATCTTGTTTGGGTCTTACCTTGGATTTATCTTCTTTAGATCATAAAGACAAGAAGTCATTCCAGAGCACTTTATTCCCCCCCCCAAAAAAAAAAAACACAAAAACCTGCCACAGTGGGGTGGTTCGGAGTTGTCAAAACAATTTTCCACTGTTCCAAAATAATCTCTCGGCAGTGACCCAGATTTTACGAGGCGCTCCAGCTTTCAAAGGGCAGGTAGTTTGAGTAGAAGACAGGTCTGCAAAATCTTTTAGGTTTACGAATCCCGTGCCTTGCCCCATTCCTGCAGGGTCTGTCGAAGCCTCCCAGCAAAGCATCTGTGCTGCTGTGGCACGAATCCCTGAGCTGGAGGAAATAGGAAGAGTTTGGTGGGGGTTGCTGCTGTTCCCTTCTGTATTTAATTAGTGGGTGGGGTGCTGGGTGCTGCTGCATCCAGCAAGAGCAGTGCTGTGGTCCTGTCTGCCCGGTGCTGTGCTCCTGTGCCAGCCCAGCTCAGCTTGCTGCGTTTGTCCCCACTTTGAGAACTTCCAGTTGTTAATGACGGTGAATTAATGCTGCTGAGTCCTTGCGGCTGCTCGAGGTGGGAGAAGCTCTGTGAGCAAGTCCAAAAGCCCCAGAACTTGGTAATGGGGCAGGTGAGCAGGGATGTGAGGGCTCGGACGTGCACATCCCCACAGGACCTGCATTAAGAGCCGGGCTGTGCCGAGCAGAGGGGAGCAGGGTGAGATGTGTCTCCTTGTGCCTTGCAGAGCCCTCCGCTTCTTTTCTTGCTCATATTCTGGAGCTGAGCCATTCACAATCTGTTAATAGGATATTAAAAAAAAAAAAAAAAAAAAAGAAGCTTGATTCATATTTAGCTTATCTTAAATTTCATTTGACCTGATTAAAGCCCTGCTCGTGCTGCCTGCCTGGCACATGGTTTATTCATTTCCCTGTGTTCTGCTGCGGCACGGTGTTGGCTTCGCTCTCCGTGGAGGGACAGCAAGGATGTTGCTGGGGGGCAGCACCCAGCCCCTTCCTGCACGGGGCTCAGGCCCTGCTCTCACTTTCTTTAGATCCTGCCCTGAGCCCTGCTTTGGTTCCCAGTGATCCATGTGCTATATGGCAGGCGGGGAGTGAGGGGAGAGTGGGGCCAGGAGGGGGCTGAGCGCAGCCAAATCTGCCCAGCAGCAGCTCCCCTGGGGGCATTTGATCTCGCCCTGCTTCTGCAACCTGCTGGGCACGCAGAGCCATGCGGGGAGCCTCAGGGGGATGCCAACAGCTCTGTGCTGAGGGGGAATGCCATGAAATCTTTTTTTCTGGGACCTTCTTGAGCCTCCTCCTCTGTGGCTCTCAGGGTAGGACCCAGCATGGTGCAGCAATGTCAGCGCACTTTGAGCCTGCTCAAGAGGAGCCTGGTGGCACTCAGCTTCTGGCCCCACAGAGCCCAGGAGAGAGTGAGGGGGTGACAGGCGATGCCCTTGGCATGGGGGCTGCCTCCCCAAACCCACAGCTTGCCCAGAGCCTGTGCAGCAGGCAGAGCAGTCCCAGAGCAGCACCTCCAGCCCTATGCAGGCAGGTAGGGAATATTCTCCTTTTCCTTGAAGATGCTGGGAAAAGGAGGCTCAGGTGACCCTGCAGTGCATGTGAGGTTTATTTTGCGAAGTGCAGGTGTCTGGCAGCCTGGGACCTGCCTCGTATGAATCCTGGCTCAGGAAATCTGCTCCACGCTGTAGCTCTCTGCAGCAGCCTGCGTGCTCCTGGCCACGCTGCTGCTGCTGCTCACGGTCCCCATCTCAACAATTTCACGTGGATGCTGACTTGTTTATTTTTTGCCACTGAAGCATGACGTGGGAAAATGCTTGCCGCTTCCTTAGGTGGGTGATTTATGGCAAGGCAAAACGGGTTTGTAAGAGGCAGGGGCCCTGCGCTGCCTGACAAGCAGGGCTCGGCTCTGAGGGACAGCCCGTGTGAAGCAAGCAGGTAGGGATGCTCCACAAAGCCAGCAGAAGGAAACCTTTTCCCTTTGTGTTCTCCTTCCGCAGCCTCCTCCAAGCTTTGCAACCTGCCTGTCTGCCTAGTGTCGCCCAGGAGGTGCCAGGCACCTGTCCAAGGCTGGGCCAGCTCTCAGCACATCCCACGCGGCTGCCTTGGCGTGGGTGGCAAGCGGCCGTTAAAACCCAGGAGAAGGAGCATTTTCTTGGTGCTGTTTTACTCCAGCACTCTGGTGTAACGTGCTGTAATGCCAGCCTGGGCTGCTGTAGATAGACCCGGAGCTCTTCCTACAGGATGCCCTGGGAGGTGGGAGCGCAGGGAAGGACCCTGGAAGCCCGATGGGTGCCAAGGATGAATGGCATGGGTTGCTGATCCTGTTTCTAAATGGCTTCTCTGGGGCTTGTGCTTCTTCTGCAGAAATATTTACACACACTGAGAGCCCCTTACGAGGGGCATTGGGCATGCCTGGAGCAGAACTGGGCGTTGCAGGTGTCTTTGAGACTGCAGTGACTTAAACAAGCTCCATCGTTAGAGATGCGCGCTGTGCTCAGCCCTCTAACTGAACAACACAACTTGACCTGGGAGCATTAAGCCTGTGGGTGCACGGTGGAGAAAAAGGCACAGACGTGGGAATGGGTTAAATGAGCACAGGAAAGATGTTGGGTGCATCTCTCAGGCTGCATCACCGCTGTGCCCCCCTGGGGAGCAGAATGCTGGTTGTGCTCCCCAGGCAGGAGACGGAGCCTGCAAGCAGCGAGGGCTTGTGCCCCTCTGCCAAAAAAAATCCCATGGGGATGTGACCAGGGGAGGTTGCTCCAGGCTGCCCATGAAGGGAGCAGTTACCTCCTTCAAACAGGGAGGTGAAGGAGGAGAGAAACAAGCTGGATGAAAGCGGGGACTTTGCCAGCGCTGCCTTCTATTTATGATTTCACAAGGTCAACAATAATCCCCACAGCTACAAGCACATAAAAATTGATTCTTTCTTGAAAAGATTGATGGATTCTTGGTCAGGCCATTCTCTCTGATCTTGCTGCCCTCTGGACATTGCAGAAATTTATGAAGATGCTGCGCGTTCCCCTGCAGAGGACTAAATAGCTTCTCGAAAAGAGAGCAAATGCTTTCAGTTCAGACCTCGGGTCCTGGGCTGCTGCTGTAAATAAGAGCAAGGCTTCCTCCCCATGCAGCGAGTGAGCTGTGGGGCTTTTGTACCAAAGGTGAGCAGTCTTTGCTTTGCAGCCTGCTTGGCATGGGCCAGAGGTTGTGCCCTGCTCCATTTCTCCCCTGGGTGATGCCGGGGGTCTGCTGATCCCAGCAGGGGACGTCACCTCCTGGCTTCTCCTCGCTGCTGCCCTGCTGGTGAGCTGCATGGACCCCTCAGGCCAAATTCTCCTTTGGTTTGTCCTGCACAGGTGCTTTCAGAGCAGCGAAGCAGGGACGAACGTTTCTGGAGTCTCCAGCTGCTCACCAGCGCTTCGCAAACAAGATCATCCCGTGGGCCCGCGTGTCAGCTGGAAGCCTCCTTCAATCTGTGTATTAAAAATAACCAGCTTTAAAGCCACAGTGTTCGAAACCGCTTTGTTTTCCACAAGTGGCAGGAAGCTACCAAACAAAGCCCACTTATTTTTCACAGCTCCATCCCCACAGTTATTAAATCCTCGGCGCTATTGAATCCTGGAGAAGTTTGTGGGGCTGCGCGCAAGCAGCGCTCGCAAGCCATAATATCCCTGTGAGTAGTGTGTGCTCTTTGTGTCTCCTTCCTGGTTAAAAAGCAGCTTAGGTGTGCTCAGAAGGCATTTCTTTGAGTTCAGCTGCATATCTTCATCACAGTGAGCGTGTTATGTGAAATGCTGCCGTACAAAGGGACGATGCAGAACGGCGGGTTTGGGAGGTGAGGGGAGGGATGGTGGAGATGTGCCAGGAGAATCGATGCAGGTTTTTTTTTTTTTTTAACAGCTATGCATGTGTATTGAACAAAGCCCTTTAAAAGACTTTCAGAAAGCAGTGGGCTCCCTCTTGTAATGTGCTGGGGTTTATCACAAGACGAGGATGTGTGGAATTGCTGAGGGCTGGGCGCAGAGAGCGCTCAGCATTCATCCTCGTGGCGTTTCTCCGAATTGCAGTGCGAGGGTTTGGCTCCTCAAAGAGACAAAGCTGCTGCTGGTGCCACTCACAGCCTGGGGAAGGTCCTGCACACCCAGCCCTGCTGCCCAGCTGTGCAGGGTTCCCTAAATCATGGTGTTTGTGCTGCCCTCAGGCACCCCTTGCATTGTGTCCTACCTGCCCGGCAATGGGCTCAGCTGGCAGCAGGTGATGGGTGGGAAGAGGAGCCCACCTTCAGCACGGATAGGAGCAGAGCAGCTTGAGAGGAGCAAGATGAGAAACCAGGGAGCCTGGGCACAGGTGGCTGTGGTCTTTGTGTTTGGAGGTCAGGGTGGGAAACACTAATGCTGTGTTGATGTAGGTGTTGGAGCGGTGCTGCTTGGCACGGGGTGCCACGATGTCCCCAGCAGGCTGTCCTGCAGCAAGGGTCATCCTCTCCTGTCCCCAGGGACCCCACACGTGGGGGAAGGGGAGGCAGTTGTCTCTATCCCTTCCTCGACCCAAATTTCAGCCACTTTGAAGCAGCACTGAGCTTTTTCCAGAAGGTCCTGGGAGCAGCGCTCACTCCGCAGCTGGTACCCGTATGGTTCCTCCAAGGACGGTGCCTTCACTCGTTTTCAAGCTCTGCAGGGCTGCAGAGTGTGGACCCATCCCCATGGGTGCTGTGCTGCCCTGGGCACGGTGCTCAGCCCTTGGCATCCTGCCCCAGAGCGTGGCTGGTCCAGCAGACGAGCTCCTTCCCGGCTGCCTTCATCCCCTGGTAGCCGCCCCACTGCGCCTCTGCTCGTACAAAACAAAATCCTGCACAGATCCTTCAGAACAAAGCTGCTTCCCAGAGGGATTTTGATCAATGTCACACCCAGGCTGGTGATGTCTGCTCTGGATCCTGGTGCATCCCAGCACCCAAAATCCCACATTTCATCTGCTGTCCAGGAGAGGCTCTTGCAGCAGTGGGCAGAGGTGGCGAAAGCTGCTCCACGCTCCCTGCCAGCCTTCAAACTGGCTCTTGGTCGCCGTTTAACCTCCTCCTCCTCCTTCCTATGGGTGGGTAAACAGAAAAGCTATTTTCTCCTTCACCTCCAGCCCTGGCTCCCTGCTCTGCGGCTGCCAGATGGCTGCGAGTGAAGGCTTCTGTGCCCGGCTCTCCTGCCAGCATGTCACGACCACTTGGCTGCGTACGGAGGAGATGCTGCTTCCATCCATCTCGAGTGCTTTGTACCGTCTGCAGCAGGAGCCCGTGGCTCGAGGTGCTGCCTGAGCAGGCTGTGTCCTTTGTCATCTGAAAATTAAAAGAAGAAAAAAAAGTGCCAAATCAAAGGTAACAGGGGTGTGTAAATGTGCTGCCCTTGTGCCGTGAAACCAGGGTGCCGCTCTGCAGCAGGGCTCTCTTTACCTTCCCCTTCACTTTTTCATGTTCCTTGGCCAGTGTTGAGAGCAGCCTGGCAGTTTTGAGCATTGGTTTTTCTCCTGGCTTTTTTTTTTTTTTTTTTTTCCAACAGCCGGAGCCCAGCTCTTGCTCTGCAAGTAGCAGAGAAGCTGGTTCGGTGCCACGGAGGGGTTAAAGGACATGTCCATGCTGATGTCCCAGCTTTAAGGAAAGCCAGGGATGCTATGGGAGATATCTGTGGCTGTACACATGGTGATGGCTGGGACAACCCAAAGGGGGTCAAATCCACATCCTAGGGTCTGCTCTGTTTTGGCTTTGCACATCCAGGAGCTGCACCAATGCTTCCTCCTTGCAGCCCCCATCAGGGCCTGGCACGGAGACAGAGCTGGGTTTCAGCACCGCCGATCCCCTGAGGTTTCTCATTTCTCAGCATAGAGGAAGAGGCCAGAAGGGGCCTGGGATGGACCCATCACGGGTGGGAAACCAAAACTCTGCTGGTGTCACAAGCAAAAGCCGAATCCGCTCCGTTGATTTCCCAGGTGAGACCTCTGCCAACATTTAAGAGGGATAAACGAGGTGACCTGGATAATTACGGGCCTGTCAGCTCTGCTTCGATCCCGCGCAGGCTGATCGAGTGGCTGACGTGGGAATTGATTAATAAAGAATTAAAAGCGAGTAACATCAGTAAATGAAAGTAACGGCGCTAATGTCTATCAACAGGTGTAGAGACGGTTGGCTTTGCAAAAGCAGCTCTTTGGTACAAAGCTGGCTGGGTTGGAGGGAGCGGGTGTTTGCGTACCCCTGGTTTTGGCCATGTCCCACCGCCCATGGGGCTCTGTTGGCTCGGTCCAAGCCCAAAGTGGAGAGCAGCACCAGGAAAGCCAGGTGCTGTGTGTCTGGGCATCGGCAAACAGCAGGCAGGTGTCTGTGCCCCGTCCATCCCATCACTGCATGGCCCCCGGCTCCTTCTGGGCTCCTCCCAGCCGGCGAGGGGTGTCAGCATCCGCGCAGGATCTGTCCCGGAGCTGGCTGCGGCGCTCGCCTCTTTTTTTCCAGTTGCCATAGGAACAGACGAAGGCCTCTAAAGCATTGCGGTGGGGTGCACGTCTAGGTCATGCTGTGGAGCAGGCAACCATTTTATAGTGATAATAAATTCAGGGAATTGGGAATTTGGCCGAAGTAGCACGCAAGAAAAGGACTTGAAAAGGCAGAATGGAGATAAATGAACAAAAATAATTCCATGACAAATGGCCATACTCTGCGCCAGACCTAAATGAAATCCTTCGCCGGAGTTCAGGCAAGAGGGTACGGGAACACAGATTGTAAGGGATGATCTGTCCTCGGAGCATGAGGACAGAAAGGCAAAGGCAGCACCTTAAAGTGTTTAGGGACTATTGGATTTCAAAAACCTTCATTATCTCCAGTCCCCACTGCCTGGATGCGAATTGCTGCTGGCCAAGGATTTACCATCCCTCCGTCTGCGTGACAGGAGCAGGAGAGGCACCAAATCCTGGGAGAGGAGAGCTGGCCGAGCAGAGCTGGCCATTTGGAGGTCACTGAAAATCTGCTGGAAATGTGTGGACACAGAGGAGCTGCTGGGCTGGAGCAGCCACGGGGAGATCTGCGGATCCACTCCGGCATGGAGACCCTGAAGATCTCCTATAGCAACACAGGGCTGGGGGGCTGGGCGCTTCCCCTGGATTTTGGGGAGCTTCTGGGTGGGCTGGTGTCAGCAGAAGGCTGATTTCAGGATCACTTGTCGCTGTGCTCGTGTTCTCCTGCTGCGTGGTGTGAAGATCTGCTGCTCCAGCAGCTGAGGACACCGAGCCTGCTCAGGATCCCCTCCTGAACGTGGGTGAATTTATTTCATTTACTGCACAACCCATGCACCGTGCAACGTCTTTCCTGCTCCTTTTCCTATGCCTGGTGAAGGAAAAACAAACTCTTGGCCAAAATCCTCTCTGTCAGCCGCCCAGAGCCTGTCCCCACGGTGTCTGCCCACCGGTGCCACGCGTAAACACGTGGGAGATGGTGGCGGGTCCCGAGCTGGCATCCCTCGCTGCAGTGTCCTCATGTGCCCTACTGCCTTTGAGGGGGGTGAAAAGGGGGTGAAACCAGACAGATCGGGCAACCTCTGTGTTTTCCCAGCCCTGGGAGCGCTAACGAAGGCAGCCAGGCTGTGGATGCGTGCGGGCGAGCTGCTGGCACGGCGCAGCAAGCTTAACGAAGCCTGCGCGGACGCCTCCCTCCTGAGCCCCTGCTCTGTCCTTCCCCTAATTGCGCTGGGGTTTGAAACGCGACTTAAATCGCCGTGTCCTGTTGGCTTTGAGAAGCAGAATTTCTCATGCTGATTTAATCACCTCATTATGTCAAACAAGTTAGAGTTATTTTGAGGCTGGCTAATAGGTGCCAATTTATACCCCTTGGCAGCGCGGGGCTGTGCTCAACCCTACCACTTGTTTGTTGGCGAGACAAAGAAAGCCTGGAGCTGGCTGCTTTCTAGGGTAGACAGAGCTCACCCGGGACCCGGGGCATCTGTTGCTGGTGCTTTGCAACCCCTCTTCTTGCCATGGACTTTTTTTTTTTTTTTCCCCGATTGCTCCTTGTTTGGTTTAATGAGGTGGTGGTAGGAACTCGGAAATTACTGAGCTGGGATGTGGCCAGAGCTGGAGATGGGCACTGAAATGAGGCACCACGCACGGCATGGCAGCTATCCTGTGTGGGCTCGGAGCATCTCCTCTCCCTGGGGGCATGAGGGTGATGGGGAGCAGCGATGAAGGCCAGCAGTATTTGATGAGGAGTAAGAAGGGGCTGGCTTGCAGGAGGCTGGGGTTGTCTCCTTGCTGGTTTGTGCAATGTCCTTTGGGCTGTGCCAGCTTCTAAAGCTCTGGGTTCACAGAAAAGCAGGATTTCATCCCAGCATCATTGGTTTTGCACATTTCCTTCCCAAGACCCCACTCTGCAGCCTGCTGAGGTCTGGGGGTTTGAGCCTGCTCCTTTTCCATTGCCTCCCTGCTTCCTCCCAGCCGGCTCAGCTTTGGGTATTTTGCTCTACCAACAAACTGGGGAGGGCAAACGAGGCAAGCCCCCGGGTGGGCTGCTTCCCTCCCCATCCCTGCCGCAGCCCTAGGGAAGTTACAAAGAGCCGAGACTTGTCAGGGTGATAAATCTTGAGCTAATTCCTCCCCTGGGGCTTCCCTCTGTGGGAGCTGCAGACCCTCGAGCATCATCCTGCTCCATCCAAAATGACATTTGCTGGAGGCAGCTCAAGAG